TTTTCTTTCCTTTTTTTTTTTTGAATCTTTTTGAAACAAATACAATGGAATTTTACGGCATTACTGAGTTTCAAAGTTTTTGGTGACGATCAATGGATTTTACTAGGGTATGTGAACTGTTTGAACTTTGTGAATTTGTTTCTTTCACGAAAAAAATGAAAAAAAAGAATGGTGTACTCTTTTGAGTTTTCTCAAGATAGTTTAAGACTTCGTGTATAAAAACACGGGCCGGGCTAGGTGATGACGGATCGCGGTTTCTGTCTATTGCTTGTGAATAATTGCGCACGCAGGGCTTTCGACTAAACACGATAGGTGTGACTAACAGACGCACTCAGAGCCTTCTCTTAGACACGATTTGTATGATAAACACGCACTAATAGCCTTGCCTAAACACACGATTGAACATAACGTTCTTTTCTATTCAATCATCAATTCTTTCATCCTTTGCACTTCCTTTCTTCTAGCCTCCATTTTCCAAGCTCGTTTCTTTCTTGCACAAGGCCCACACTAACGACTTGCCTTCTTATCCTTTGCCTTGCGTTGTCTCTTGGCCTTGCGTTTCCTAGCCTTCAACTTCAACTTTGGACCACATCCTTTTGGCCAATCTCTCACGCATGAAGGTCGATAAATCAGACTTGATGGCTCCTCCAGCATGTTTTCCAACCAAATATCGAGATCTTCGACCATCCCGTCACTTGACTCACCGGGGTTAATAACCACTTCCGTATCATTCCCCTCCTTTTCAAGATTTTCCTTGTCCTCAAGGATAATGAAATTTAACGCACCTTCATCATCATTGTTTTGAATGTTGGCCACTTCAGCTTCCCTAGCTTCCACGAGTTGTCGTTCGTGCTCCTCCAAATCTCTTCGCTCGTGAAGCTCCTCCCAATACTTTTGCTCCCATGCGGTTAATTCCGTCTCCAAGCCTTCTAGATATTCGAGATCTTCCTAATCCAACTCATCGAATGGTAAGAAGACCATCAACTAGGATGACACTTTTTTTTTTGTTACTAACCGAACTCACGAAAAAAATAAGAAAAAGAACAAAAGATTCGAACAAAAAAATTCGAACAAAAAGAAAAAGAAATGTGGTCCCTCAGCAAAAGGCAAACCGAAAAAAAGAAAAAGATAGATAGACAAAAACGTTGATCGGACACTCTCAATGAAAGCACCAATGATGAGAGATCGCGGTTTCTGTCTATTGCTTGTGAATAATCGCGCACTTAGGGCCTTCGATTAAACACGATAGGTATGACTAGCAGACGCACTCAGGGCCTTCTCTTAGACACGATTTGTATGATAAACACGCACTAATGGCCCTGCTTAAACACACGATGAACAAAACGTTCTTTTCTATTCACTCATCAATTCTTCCATCCTTTGCACTCCCTTTCTTCTAGCCTCCATTTTCCAAGCTCGTTTCTTTCTTGCACAAGGCCCACACCAACGATTGCCTTCATAGCCTTTACCTTGCGTTGTCTTTTGGCCTTGCGTTTCCTAACCTTCAACTTCAACTTTGGACCACATTCTTTTGGTCAATCTCTCACGCATGAAGGTCGATAAATCGGACTTGATGGCTCCTCTAGCATGTTTTCCAACCAAATATCGAGATCTTCGACCATCCCGTCACTTGACTCACCGGAGTTAATAACCACTTTCGTATCACTAGGTTTCACGGGCCCTGAACCGGCACGATCCGTGCTGGGTCCATGCCCGTCCAAACAAAAAAAAAGGAAAATTTTGAAAACCGTGTGTTTTTTTCGTGTCAGTTCGGACCCGCGGGCCAGGGTCGAAAAAACAAGACCCTGGATTGGCTCGGTTGAAATTTGAGCCGAGCTCGGACCTGTGGTCAATGGGTTTGATCGTGTCGGGCCGGCGAGCCAGTTAACCCGTAGCCACGTCTAAATGTAAGACCTAAAAATTTTCATAAGACTTCCGTGTATATACTGTAAGATCTAAAAGTTTTTAATAGTATCGAGCTATTAATTTGTGATTTTAGACTGTCTTATGCAATTATAAGGTATTTAGCTCATTAGAAGTGAGACTTTTTAAGATTTGTTGGAATTTCAAAATGAGAATATCATATACGAAATTTTGCTCCAAATTTCATCTATAGATTTAATATTTCATAGGATTTTATTTTTTGAAGATATTCTTAATGACATGATTGGTTGTGAAAATGACATGAGAGAAATGATCATTTCCTTACTCATTTTTTATACATTAATTGATATACTTGGAATAATCATTTTCTTATTTATTCTTTATCCCATGATTGATATACTTTTTTAAAATTAATGACAAAACTCATCTCCGTGGGATTAGTCATTCTATAGCTAGTACAAGGTTTCTCATTCCCATATTTGTAGGAATCAATTTTTTCAAACAATAAAATTAACAAATAATAATAAAAAAATAAATATATAATATATACTATAACCCGTGATTAAATTATATTAAATTAAATTATTTTAAAAGATAAATTTCAAATAAAAATTTAAAAAACTTGATTTTATTTATTGTTCATATTTTAATTAAATATATTAAATACTTATACAACAACAACAACAACAACGACAACAAGTCGTTAAAATCCCCAAGCCGGCTATATGAATCGCATGTCACCATCGTGCTCGATCTAAACACATATCCTCATTCAAATTTAAATATTTTAAATTATTTTTCATTGTTTACTTCCAAGTTCTCTTAGGTTTACCCCTCTCCCTTTTAATTTGTGTTCTTAATTCCATTGTCTTTACCATTCTCGCCGGGGCCTCGTACGCACATACACAAACCATATTATATAAAAATAAAGTAAAAAAATGCATAGATAAATAATTTAAAAAATATTATTTTATTTTTATACATCATATACACATTATATATATATATATATTCATAAATTGAAATATAATATAAAAAATAATATTCGACACATATGCTTATAGGGGTTCATGTAATGATATATTTATATTAGTTAATATGTATATATAGGATTTACCCTAGCAAACAAATTCCAAAAATATTCTCTCATGGAGAGCGTAACCATCAGTGTGCTTTTGAGAGGTTTCTAGCTATTTTCTTTTATCAGCCCCATTCCTCTCCCTTATCTTCCTTTTCCCCTTTGTTTTAGCTTCTTTTAAACCTATCATTCTCCGGTCTCAGTTTATTAGGGTTCGAACATGGGTTCCTCCCAATGCGTTGGGCAGGATGATGAATTGGCCCATCGTCTACGCGTGGTTTCGTTATCAGAGCGCGAAAATAATCTTATTGATATTGCTAAGGGCGACAAAAAAATTAGCGACGAGGAATGCCATTGCAGCTTATTCGACAAAGTTATCGGGGATAGAAGAGCTAGCTGGGTGGGGATACGGCGTTCTATGAGCAATATTTGCAATTACAACAGGCAATGGAGATTAAAGAATTGGGACCAAACTATTTCCAGTTTATATTCCAAAGTAGGGACTATCTCGTTCGTGTGGCTAAAGGTACTAATTGGATTTTTGACAACCAATATTTGGTTCTGGCATAATGGAGGAATGGGTTATCTGTTGTGTCCATTTTTGTTGCAATTTTCGTTAATGTTTTTCCCCCGTTTTAGGTCTTTTAGTTTGTTTTTAGTTCGTTTTTTTTTATTATATGTTTTGTTCCATTTAGGTTTTCTTTGTGTTTTTCGTGTGTTTTTCTGGTTTTTCTTCGTTTATTGGTGTGCAGGTCGAAAGTCTCGTGATGAGTCGATTATAGACCGGGCAATCATGGTTGTATAGATGGACTCGTTGGCTACACAAAGGAAAAAGCGGAATGTTATTTCGAGTTTGGATGAATCTGGACGGAGCCAAAACGCAAAGCCGCGCGAAGTTGCATGCGAATCACGTCTTTAGTGTGATGGTCAAAAGCTTGAGGAGAATTGTATTTCAAAAATAATTTGTCCATTCAAGTATCATTGGATAGAGGGGTTCGTTAGCTACGCGTAGGAAAAAACAAAACTCAATTCCGAGTTCGGACGAGCCTAAACGAGCCAAAATCGTAATGTTGCGCAATGCAGTTTTGATTAGCGGCGCTAAGAAGGGTTAGCGCCGCTAACCTGCCATTCTTAGCGGCGCTAAGAATCATTAGCACCGGTAACCCTGGCAGACAGCAGTTGGTCTGTTTTCTTATCTATGTTTGAACTTGTGGTTGAATTGGTGAGAGTTAGGCATCATGTTAGGCGTGATTTTCAGCTATTTTCTCATCAAACTACAACTAAAGGGGAGACTACTTGGGCTATAAAAGAAGGCATCATGATCATCATCACCATCTTTGAATCAAGGGGGTTCTCCCCCTTCTTCCCCTCATTTCTTCCACCTATCTTCATTACCATCTTTCTTTTCTTTCTTTAGTTTTTCTTAAGTTTCTACTTTGCTTTCTTGGATAACTCATTGAAGGCTTGTTGCATCTTGGATTTGGTTTGTATTTTGTTCTTGACATTGGAGTTCACATTAATAGTAAGTTCTATTTTCTTTGAGTTTTTGTTGATTATGGCTATGTTAAATGTGAATATTGATGTTGAGATTGAAATGAGTAGCTAATTCCTTAGCTAGGGTTAAGGGATAATCATTCCAGTTTGTTCTCGTTTATGTGCATGATGATAATTCAATCTCAACGAGATGTTTTAATTATGAATTGATAAATTAAACTTGGTAAATTTTTATAACCTAAGAGTGACACTTAGGTTAATTTGTTGATATAATCAAAGAGTGACACTTTGATTTGTGATTGAAATATGATTTGTTAAGTTAGAATT